AGTAAAGCAAAAGTTTATTTTCAGTTTCTATTCTCTTTAAAATTTCCTCGTTTGTCATATGCTTTAAGTATTTACTAGACAGAACACTTCAGATATTGCCAAACATTATTTTTACTCGTATGAGCGTTGAGCGTAATGTTTGTCTTTCTTGTTTTTTTTTTCTCGCCACACGCTCGACACTCGTGCAAATAAGAAAATCCACGAAACACTAACTTTTTAGCCACCTGGTCATTTTATATTAATCTGCATCCCCCTCCCTCATCAACTTCCTCATTTGGTTTGCTTTTATTCGCTTGAGACGTGTCGCCCGTTCTCGTGCCCTCATCGTCTCTATGATGGCTTCTCTAACAAAAGACAAGCTTATTCACAGTCAACCTCCTTCGAAAAGGGACAGATAAAGGTCCCTTATGTACTGGGCGCCATATGCAGTCTAATTCATTAATCTATAAATAACCTTCATGGGCTTTCTTTCCTTTTTTAAAAATTAGTCTTGCTTTTCTGTTGCTTTCTTTTTGTTATAAGAACAATGAGTTGACCTGAGTTCATCTTCATTAGAATGCAAGCGGCCAGTGTTGGTAAAGTTACAGACGCAACCTTCACTGACGTATTAACGCCGTTTATTCAACATGTTACTAATGATTTAAAACTCACTTTCGCAAAATTATTTTCTAAATAAACAATTAATTTTTCTCAGCGGTATTTTCCCTCTTTACAACAATTTAGTTCCCTAAAACAAACTGAATACGTTACAGATGAAAATTCTAAGCGTGTTCTCGGTAAGCAATATTTAAATTTTAGGTATTTAAAAAGTTCAGTCAATTTTGTCAGTATTGACAATCAAGATTATTAGACGCAGAAATATTTATGAAAATAATAATAATAATAAGCATATAATAATTTTGATTGCCAGTACCTCATAAATAAAGAACTATTCATTTTTGACCGCATGAAAAGATGGAAATGACACATATCAGAGATGTTGCTTGGTTTCAATGATAAAATGAAAGAAAGGAAGAAAGAAGGAAAGGAAGAAAGAAGTGTGTAACCTCTCCTGACAATACCCCATACATAAAGAACTATTTCATTTCGATTGTGTGAAATCTCATAAAAACGCTACTTGGTTTCAGTAAAAAAAGAAAGAAAGAAAGATGAAAAGTGAGAAATGTTTAAAGTCTGAGTGAAATGGAAAAAAATTAACATTTTCAAGTTTTTTCATGGTTGGTATTGCAATATTTTGTTGAAGTTGTTAAGCTTAAATATTTAACGACATGTTAGGGGGATTTCTCCCGATATATTATTTTCATAGAACTCGTCATGAGCTTATTAAGACATTAACTGAAGAATTAAGATTCATCAGAAAATTCAAATAGGAAAACCGAGCCCGTCCTTCGCTAGTTAGTTCCTTAGTTCGTACGACCCTTACTCCTGGCCATTACTAGTGTATTGCTAGTCCTGCTGTCAAAAAATCAATGACATATAACTACGAAAGAATATAACTCTGGCTATTTAGATTGTTCGGCCTGTTATTCTCGTCTTTATAGTCATGTTCATGACGTTTCGGCTGTTGTACGTTCTTGGCATTCTTCAGGTGATATACATTGGAATTTCGTATATCACTTGAAGCAGGTGGAAGCGTTCAACAATCGAAATGTCGTAAATATGACAAGGAAGATAAGCACAAAAGTCCGAACAATGTAAATAACGTAAATAATTACAATAACGTATCTCATAAATATAGACAAATATAATTGTAATTATGCTATAAAGCGCTCATTTAAATTTTTTTACATTCCATCGATTTAGGAGACCTTGAAACGATTAATTTAAAAGAAAACAGCAACCATAACCTTTCTATTGGTATCACTAGTCTCTATTATTTTCTGCTAGCCAAAAACTTCAGCTAAGTGTACTGGCCTTTTTCTGAATAAGCTATGTAAGTGTAGTTTTCGCAAATTCCCTTCTCCAGAAAATAAAATTTCATTTTATTTTTAAGCATGAATCATTCTGTCTCTCCATTTTAGGCTTGTGCTAACAGGAAATACTTCATACGTAATGATAGCACGTACTTTCCACATGTCAAAAATAACTTAATCTAAACAATGACAAGAATGTCACTTACTTCTCTTTTCCAGATGAGGGCAGTATAGTAAATGTTTAGGTAAATTATGCAGAAGGAAGAATAAAAATAATGTTTGCCTACACATAAGTTTGTTGACAAATACAAGAGAAATTCACACTCTCAGGTTTTAGTCACATCTTAAAAAACAACATTCAATATTTAACGGTATCCATCATTTAATATGGTAATTTTCTAATCGTAACTTAGACGTGGCACGAAGCCAAAAGTATAGGGCGCCCAGTGAGGATCGATCTCACTATTAAGTCGTAAAACCTTCGAATCTGCCAGTCACATCTCCTCTTTAATTAAATTAGGCGTGGTAAATTTTTGGTCATGGTGCGTGGCATGTTCTGATTGATCGTCGGTAATTTGCATAGTAATAATTAATATATCTATTTATAATAATAATAATAATAATAATAATAATTAATAATGGGTTACAGAGATAGGACTTGTAACAATTTTATGGGACTTTAGAATACAGACAGAATAATCAAATTTAATCACCCAGACATCGTGATCAAAGACCACAAAAAAAGAATGTGCTTTCTTCTGACATGACAATCCCCGTACATTGTATCTTTGGAAAACTATCAAAATGCAAGGATCTTGAAGTGGAAATCTAAAAAAATGTGATATATGAGAACATCGATAATATCAGTTGTAGTTCTCGGATTGATTAGGAACGGTTCCGACAGACACATTGAAGGGATTCCTGGTAGCCCATAATAAAAGAAATACAAAAAATTGTACTCACAAGTAGAGCTCACACATTACGAAGAGCATTATTTATGTAAAATGTGTATGATCTTAGTTTTTTTTTTTTTTGAAAAAGGATCGGTGGAAAATGTCATGAAGCCATTTCCGATCTTAGATCTCTCTTTGGGATCTGGAAAGAAATGTGTATACAACAGAAATCAAAGAAATAATAATAATAATAATAATAATAATAATAATAATAATAATAATAATAATAATAATAAACAACAACAACAATACCCCAATGTCAGATTATGCTGTTCGACTTATATTTTCAGAGTGCCAGACATCACAAAGAGGACTGAGAAACGACCGTTTAATTACAAAATGGCGAACTGTTTTCCAACCTCAATTTAAAGCATTAAGCACTTAGTTTAACAAATGGATGATCTTGCAAATCATTTTAAAATTAACCTGGATCTGTACGGATTAAAAGAAGGAGCGAAGATTAAAAAAGAGAGTAACAAAATTTTCGATATTACTTTCTTTTATATTTAACAATAAATTGTGGAGGAAGGTGTTTTATTTACTTTTCCTTATATACAATGTAGTGCGTGAATCACACCAGCAAACACAACAAAGTCTGAGTCTAATTTAATGTCACTAATGAACCTATGTTTTAAGAGTTCATCTGAGGTGCCTTCAGTATGTACTTATCTCAACCTAAGGAATGACGTGATGATGGTGTCACGCCAGAGTCTAAAATGTTCAAAAGAAATTTGAATTGGGGGTAGTCTCACGGGTAGGTGCAGAATGATGTCAAAGTCTACCCCGACGTATAAAAGACGAGGTCGACTCAAATGAGCTTACTGTGTGGATATGCTTCGACAAAAGGTTCAAAGGACGTTATATAAGCGCCTCCTCTGAAAGGGAAAAGCCAATGTCTCATATCCACGAGAAAAGATCAACGTTTGAAGAAAGTTGCCGAAAGCACCCACGGTCACGCTGTTATTAATTAACGAAGTCCAAAAAGTAAATAAATGATAGTCTTATGTGTGAAACGTCTAGTCTCGTATCCTTATTAGATAGCATTACTAGTATATCTTCATTTATCTTAAGCTGAAATTTTAAGTTAGTAGTAATATTAATGTTATATTAGCGCAAAGCACATGTTTTGTTTTGAATCATTCCACCCCAATCAAGGCAATAAAATCACTAAGACGCCAGCTTGCTAGAGAATATAATAAAAACATTATTAAGGGCAAGGAACAATAAAAAGAACAGGAATTAAGAAGACACGATAACGATTGACATTGTATTTAAATTTTTGGAGATCAAAGTTGACTGGAAAACAAGGAGGCCGAAGAGAGTTCCACAGGCTAGAAGTGCGAGAGACGAGACTGTTAGCATAGAACTTATGGTTACATATAACCATTTCAACTGCAAACTGATGACACCAATCAAGTACCGCGCTTAAATTCATAATGTCTAGGTACCATAAAGTCTAGGTACCATAGATGAACGTTCATCATAACAATTACCATGACTGTATTTATAGAAAGTCACAGAGAAGCTACGTTACGGCGGTGGGAAAGTCATTGTATCCGAAATTCCAGGTCAGGACGAATAACATTACAGATTCTTCTAATATAATGTTATTCTAATATTACCAGCAATAGCAAAAATTGTTATGTCTTGAAAAACATGTCTAATTTTTAGTGTGTCACTGTATAATCATACATTTTTTACTACATCATGAGAACATTTTTCATATTAACTTCATTATTCATGAAAAAAAAAAAAGGTTTGCTGTATGCGCAGTTCGAGTAAAATTATTTCCTTTACTGTTAAACTTTGCAAATCTCATAAAACTATTTTTAATAAACGAATGCTTAATTTATTTATAATTAATACAAAGAATTTTCAAGAAACCAATTAAATCGGAATATCTTTTTCCTATGGCATTGTTCTTAATTTATAATGCGCCTATTCTTTTCAAAATTTGATTTTATTTTCAAGGATCAAGAGAGAAGATGATTCAATAACTAAAGGGAGAGCATTTTAGTGATTTCATTGTTCATCGAAGGGAAATCATCATTTTTCAAATAAGTGGTACTTTCTATCTTGTGGCTCTTTTGAACAGCAAAGCTTGGCTCGTAGAAATCACGAATAGATTTAAAATTTATAAAGAAAAAAACATGGCGGAGGAAGTGAAAGAATCGATGGAAGTGACAGTGTAAAAGGAATGAAGAAAGCGATGAAGGGGGAATGAATAATGAATAAAGAAAAGGTAAGGAAAAATGAAGGAAATAAATATGAAGCAAAGATGCTGGATAAACAAGACGCAGAATAGACACTGGGTAAAAGCGAAGGAAAATAAAGCATAAAATAATGAAAGAAAAGAATGAGAGATGGTCATTGATAAAGAAGAAGAATGAAACGAGAATGAAACGAGAATGAAACGAGAATGGAATGAGAATAAAAGAAAAGGGAGGAAGTAGATGGAAAGACAATTAAGATGAGAGGAAAAGGAAACAAGTAGATGATATTGAATAAGGAAGTTGGGGGGAACAAAATTTGAAATATGAAAATAGAAGTAAATAACAAGGGTAGAAAAAGGAAGAAGAAGAGAAAAATAAACAGGAGGAAGATAAAATGAGAAAGAAGGAAGAGGAGAAGAAAAGAAAGTCAGAATAAGAAAGAGAAAAAGAAAAAAGAAAAAGAAAACTGAAGCGGAAGGAAAGGAATCAGAAAGACGTCCGGCATTAAAAAGGGACTATAAATATACAAGATAAGAAAATAGAAAATGTGAAAAGGAGGTATACTTTAAGTTTCAGGTGGAAGAGAGGAAGTGTTTGTATCAAACTGCAAATCGAAATAAATATGACCACTACTACTACTACTACTACTACTACTACTCAGTCAGTTATGTGCCATGCGTGATACACGCTTAAGCGATCATGTATCTTTTGATACATACTGACTGATCAAAAACTAATACTGCGTTACGAAACACAATAATAATAATAATAATAATAATAATAATAATAATAAACATCACAGAAGTTAACAATGTCATATACGCAACAGCTTTAGCAGCGACTCGGAAGCTTGGGGTCAAGACAATAAATAAAATTAACAGACACAGAGAACCAGGTTGGAAATCAAAACTGATACGAGAAATAAAACAAATCAGATGTGAGCCTTCTATATTAGATGAGCTCACCAGAAACCCTAATATTTCTACACGTAAGTGCAAAAAGATCAGGCGGAAATATAACATTATATCCCTAATTGATATTCCATCAATCAAGGAAATGCTGAAGCAGAAACTTCAGCTAAAGGCACAGAGAACAAGACGATACGAAAAACGTTGTAAGTTCTATCGCCAAAATAAAATATTCCGAACAGATCTTAAGAAATTTTACAAGGAAATTGGAAAAACACCTATACATGTCGAAAGGCCACTATCGATTGATAATGTACAGACATTTTGGGAAAATATTTGGAGCAGCCCAAAGGAATATAACCCAAATGCAGAATGGATCCGGCGTGAAGAAGAACGAATGCTGGATACACCTCTGCAAGAATGGGAAAATATATATACGCAGATGATGTTAGGCAAGCTCTAACGAAATCACAAAAATGGAAATCCCCAGGAAATGACAAGTTGCCCAATTTCTGGCTTTATCATCTCTCATCTATCCATGAAATTCTTGCAAAAACATTGTCAACGCTTGTAAATAATCCCAATAAAATCCCGGAATGGATTACTGAAGGTATTACATACCTCATACCAAAAACAACTGAAACAGACGGCCCGAAAAATTATAGACCGATAACATGTCTCTCCACAACGTATAAGTTGATCACATCTATACTGACGAACCGTACTTATTCCTTTTTCGAAACAAACAGCATTCTTCCGCAGGAACAGAAGGGATGCAGAAGAGGTTCATATGGCTGCAAAGATCAACAGCTGATAAATAAAATGATCCTGGAAAATTGCAAGAGACGACGTAGAAATCTTAGTGCAGCGTGGATTGATTATCGTAAAGCCTTTGATAGTGTTCCACATTCTTGGAAATGTACAAAGTCTCCCCTGTGGTATCAAATTTCCTTAAGCACAGCATGGGAATGTGGAACATCAAACTATACTTTAGTCACACCGGGGGCACTGCCATATCCAACCGTCTGAATATCCGACGTGGAATCTTTCAAGGAGATTCTCTGTCACCCCTTCTGTTTTGTTTATCCTTAATCCCTCTTACACATGAACTGAACAACAGTAGCTATGGTTACAAAATAAATAAGAAAATATTCAATCACCTACTCTACATGGATGATCTCAAACTCTTTGCCAAAGACGACAATGAGTTGAAAGGCCTCCTCAATATTGTAAAATACTTCAGTGATGACATAGGTATGGACTTCGGATTAGATAAATGTGCAAAAGTAACATTCAAGAAAGGTAGAATTACAGAAACACTCTTAACAGATTTAGATTTTGTCACAAAGATTAGGGAACTGGAGCATGATGAAGTTTATAAGTATCTAGGAATTAGCGAAGGAGATGGCATACAACATCCCCAAATGAAGGAAAAAATAAGAAAAGAGTACTACAGGCGTGTACGTCTTGTACTAAATACTGAGCTAAACTCAAAAAACAGAATATCAGCTATAAACACATTGGCTGTCCCTGTGGTGCAATACAGCTTTAATGTCCTTAACTGGACCATAGCTGAAATTAATCGAATGGACGCCAAAACGAGAAAGCTTCTCACTTGCGTCATCCCAAAGCTGATGTTGATCGTCTGTATGTGCTCAGATCCGAAGGAGGAAGAGGATTAGTTCAACTAGAACTGTCCTACAAAACTACAACAATTGGCCTCCAAAGATACTTGGAAACTACAGAAGACTGGATGATGGTATGCGTCAAGGAACATGAAAGTAGTGAGCGTCTTTACTCCGTAATAAAAGAAGCCAAAAAATTGAAAATTGAGTTTCAAATGGGCGTAGAGATGCAAGTACAGCACAATACACCAGCTGAAACTGCAAAATACTTAAAAAAGACAGCAAAGACGAATGCAACCGACCTGATACAGAAGCGATGGCACGATAAACCGCTTCATGGCCAATACTCTGCCCGTACCAAACAAGCTGACGTAGACAAAACCCGTACCCATCAGTGAAACTGAAGGTTTTATCCTTGCTTCACAGGACCAATGCTTGTTAAGTAGGAAGTATCAAGCACATATACTAAAATATTGTGTCAGCCCAAAATGCAGATTCTGTGATAAATATCCAGAAACGATTGATCATCTTGTATCAGGTTGCCCGATATTGGCACCCACTGAATATAAAACCCGACATGACAGAGTGGGCCAATATCTGCACTGGAAAATCTGCAATTTCTACGGGAAGAAAACTGAAAGAAAATAGTATGAGCACCACCCAGACCCGGTTACGGAGATAGGACCTGTTACAATTCTATGGCACTACACAATACACACTGACAGAACAATCAAAGCCAACCGCCCAGATATTGTTATTAAAGACCACAAACAAAAATGTGCCTCCTTATTGATATGGTAGTCCCTGCTGACTGCAATGTATCTTTGAAGATATTCAAAAAGCTGTCAAAATACAAGGACCTTGAAATAGAAATCTCGAAAATGTGGCATATGGGAACATCAACAATCCCTGTTGTATTTGGAGCCCTAGGACTGGTTGGAAAAGATTGCAGTAGACTAATTGAAGAGATTCCTGGAAGTCCTTGCCTCAAGGAGAGACAAAAAATTGTTCTGACAAGTACAGCCGACACTTTGCGAAGGGCTTTATCTATGTAATTTTTTTTTTTTTGTCAGTGGAAAGTGTCATGGTGCCATTTCTAACCTTAGGTCCCTGGGCGGGACCCGGAAACAAATGTGTAAACGCCAGAAATCAAAGATAATAATAATAATAATAATAATAATAATAATGATTATTATTATTATTATTATTATTATTATTTCCTTTGGTTCCTGTTGTATACACATTTCCTTCCGGGTCCCAACCAGAGACCTAAGGTCAGAAATGGCTTCATGACATCTTACACTGATCATTTTTTGTAAAACAAACAAAAAACATAAAGATCACACATTTTACAGCGATAATGCTCTTCTTAATGTGTGAGCTGGACATGTGAGTACAAGTTTTTGCCTTATTATTATTATTATTATTATTATTACTAAAATTGGGTCGAATAGTCAGCAAAACATAGAGGAGTTCTTACCGATATGAAAATTCAGCGTGGACAAAATACAGCAACGACAACAACAACATCAGCAATAATAATAATAATAATAATAATAATAATAATAATAATAAGTACTCTGTAAAGCCCTTGAAGGAATATCAATTTGTGATATTTGTAAAGATTGGGTGACATAATGGAATGACAAAAAAGAAACAAAAAACGGACTAATGAGATGAGGGTAAAAAAATGGATGGGTGGGTGGGTTAGTGAGTGCAGGGGGGATAATAGAGTGTGATAAATAGTGGAATCGGTAGGGTGTTTGAGGGTTAGGTGATATGGATGTAAAGAGGAATGAAAAAGAAAGGAAAACAAGCAAGAGCGATCGACAGAGAGAGAGAGAGAGAGAGAGAGAGAGAGACAGACAGACAGACAGACAGACAGAGAAAAGGAAAACTGCATAATGAAAGATATTGGACACATGTCGAACCGACAGACAAAAAGCCGAGGCTACTCGGGTTCCAGTTCGGAGTCTTACACAAAGCCAACTTGTCATATCCAGGGGCGGTAGCTAAGCAGTTAAATCTCTGTAAAATCTCGTCCAAATCCCGGTACCGATTATTTCAACTTGGCACAGCATGCATTGCAGACTGATGTTTCAAAGCAAAATAAATGATTCATTTGACGGTAATTTCTTTTGTTAGAACATGACCGGACCATGACGCTTTTTATTGATAATTGTCACTTTAAGCACGCAGAACTGCGCATACATGCATATATGCGTACATTTATCCTAAGGACAAACTGGATCATATATGTATAGGTATGTGCCTACAATCAATCAATCTATACACACACACACACACACACACACACACACACACACACACACACATATATATATATATATATATATATATATATATATATCCTAATGAGCCAGGTACTAGTTTCACCACATGGGATCATCAGGTTGAACTGGCTAAGGAGGAATTAACGAAGAACAAATTTACTGATAAATCATTACTAGAGGCGGTGATATGTAATTTTATTTTGAATTTATATTTTTGAATAGAGTTAGTTTTAAGAAATTGTAGCATACTATATGGATTCATGTCATGAAAGATATTGGTTGTTTGGTTGATTTTGTTTAGCAGCATACCAACATCTATTTGTCATTTAATGCCCAATTTAATTTAAATATTTTGGACGTAATTCTATGCCTTCAACTACAGATAAAATGTATTTCTGGTCATTTTGCTACAGATAGCTATTGCTGGTAATATTACTATAAATATGTATTTTCATACTTTCATAGTGTTCTGTTTTGATTTGCGGTGGGGTTACTATTAGCCCATGACTGGGACCCTATTATGTAGTAACCCGATCAGAGGTCTTGCTCCCGGGTGTAGATTATTGTCATATCCAAAACTAGTGCGTGTGTGTTTGCGTTTATGTAGGCGTGCGTTTGTGAGTATATATATATATATTTCTTTGAATAAAGATGATAAGAAACTTCTGTTTCGTCTTATTTATTATATTATTTCCTGTATGATAGTAAGTCTGATTAGTTCGATCATGTAAATTTAGCAGCTGATCTCACTAATGACCTACTGTCTGTTGTTAACCGTGGTAAGTAATGGCTTGTCAGCTTCTCTCTAGGGACCACCTGAAAGATTGATTCTTGCGTAGCATAAGCATGGCTGATACTAACCTAAATGCGAGTGACTCGTTGCACCTTCGCAGGCTGACATTAAGTCGAAAGATTATACTGAATCTATTGGTTGGTTTGCTTGCTAAGAAAGTTGGTTGACGGTGTCGTGCGAGACAATTCTTCTCCCTTGAATCTCTCTTATATATTTATAAGTTTACCATTCGTCCGTCCTTTGATGATTGCTGCCACATAAGGATCCCGCTGTATACCTGGAGATTCTTGATAATATCCAAAGAGGTATTAGTAATATTATTGTTCTTGATTTAGTGCCTCGGCTTCCACCGGCATAATGTAGCTTCCTTGTTCCTTTTCTATAATTAAGCTTCGTTTAAGTTGAAATATATATATATATATATATATATATATATATATATATATATATATATATATATATATCAGCCTCTTTTCATTCATATACGTTTCATTAAATAATATAGACAAGTGTTGTCTATTTATTTTATGTAAATTTTTTTCGTAACGTCTGATAAGTTTAATAACATTATCGTTGAACGAAGAAAGAAATTCACAATATTGATCCATATTTTTTTTATTTAATACAATCTAAGCTTTCGGCTTACATAAGCCATTATCAAAGATGTCAATTACAACATATTAAACAATATACGGACACGACAGTGATGATAATCTGTCATTGTTTACATAGATGATTTCTAAGCAACGATAAATACGTGCATATAAGACGCTAGAAGCGAAAATCGCACCGCATCTCATGACGTCACACATGACCACACGAGAGTGAATTGGAGAAGTATGAAGTATGGGAATCCGTTGGTATAAGCCAATGGCTTCTGTTACCAATTATAGACATTTAAGAAAATTTGTGAAGATGAATATGCTTCATACTTTTTGAATTGAAAGTTTGTTTTATATTTCGGATTCATGAAATTTACTTTATGATCGTAAAATAAAACGACATGAATGTGCAATTGTAGTATGTAACTCATGTCAGGTGATGCTAAAATAGACTTTGCACTCAGGTTTTATCCTAGAAGACAAACTTTCCTTAAGCCTCATATAGAGGCTTAAGGAAATCAAATAGAAAAGAAACAGTAGTAGTAGTAATAGTGGTAGTAGAGGAAGGAGTAGTAGAAGAAAGAAGAAAGTTGTAGTAGTAGCAATTGCAGTAGTAGTAGAAGATGAACAATAGTAGTCGGGGTAGTAGTAGTATAAGAACGAAAGTAGTAGTAGTGGTAGTAGTAGTAGTGGTAGTAGTAGTAGTAGTGATAATAGTAGTAGAAGTACGAATGTAGTAACAGTGGTAATTGCAGTAGTAGTAGAGGCACGAAATTAGTAGTAGTAGTAGTAGTAATTGAAATAGTTCAAGAAGAACGAAAGTAACAGTAGTAGTAGTAGAAAAAAGAGAGTTATAGTAATGGTATTATTAATGGTAGTAATAGTGGTAATTTTAGTAGTAGAAGAATTAAAATACTAGTAGTGGTGGTAATTATAGTAGTATTAATAGAAGAAGACTAAAATAGTAGTAGTGGTGGTAGAAGAAGTAAAAGAAAAAAGAAGTAAAGTAATCGTAGTAGTGGTAGCAGTAATACGAATAGAAAGAGAACGAAAGTAGTAGTATTGGTCGTAGTTGTAGTAGAAGAAAAAGAATGTAGAACGAAAGTAATAGAAGAAGAAGAAGAAGAAGAAGAAGAAGAAGAAGAAGAAGAAGAAGAAGAAGAAGAAGAAGAATTATATGTACTTGAGCAATTACTATATCGACAGGGTCATAGCAGAGGTCACCGGTTAAATGAATATGTTATAGATTGATGTTAAATATCAGAAATGAAAAGACAAATGCAATCGACATGTAAATGCATGTTTGAGTATTCGATCGTATATGTGCGGTCGTGTATGTAAACAGCTCTTTTGCTTGCGAACATGCGTCTGTGCCTGTGCTTGCATTTAAGTTATTATCCTTGTTTTCATATTTAAATCTTGTTACGAATCTGTTTTCCTTTCATTATTTTTTTTTTAAATAATCCACTCTTTTCTATAGTAGTTTTGATAAACCTGCGCAGAACAAAGCAAAAAAAAAAAAAAAAAAAATCGATTAAGATCTGGTCTTTTGGGCGCATCATCCGTCAGGTAATAAATCGATTGTTATCGCAATTGATGCAAATATTAAAATATAATTAAATTATAATTATGAAGGTTTTGATTTTGACAGAACGTAATTTTCAGAATCGTCAGCCAAGGAGTCAACGAATTAAAACGTAGCCCACGGGTGGACAGCATTCTACGGATGATAGCACAACCTTGCATTATCATAAATCACCAATAATCGCCAACACCGTCCTCTCCTCTTTTGTTTCATTACAGAGATTGTTCTTAAGTTATTGTATATTATTGTCTTTGTTTAACAAGATGCATTCAGCCACCACCACCACCACCACCACCACCACCACCACCACCACAACAACAACAACAACCCTCATCCTCCTCATCATCATCATCATCACTATAGTTTCTATTAATGCCATCACTTCTGTTAATACCAACATAGCTATATACGAATTTATCTATAGTCATCACTGTGAATAAGTTCATCCTGCTTAGCAGCAGCAGCAGCAGCAGCAGCAATAGCAAATATAACGACCATTTCTAGCAGCAGCAACATCGTCGGACCATTTTTTCGTTAAAACGAATCAAAAATTATTATAAACTTCACAACAGTTACGAAGTAAACTTTGCTAAGTTTTTCTCAAGGAGAGAAGTGAAGATAGAGCTGTAACAAAAGTTGTTTGAAAATAAGGATATAGCTTTTACTTGGGCTTGAACACTGACTACCTGGCTCAGGTTGGAAATACACAACCATCTTAGTTATTAGGTTCACTTCATGCCATTAAAGAATGTCATAATAAAAATAATTTTCTATTGCAGCTCAATGTTTCGCAACAAAATGAGCGTGTATATTTACTACTTTAGAAACCTAATACAAGAATTTTTCTCTATAAGCAATAAACGGGGCATCTTAATAAATGGGCGGAGGTCATTTAAAAGAGTAAAAAGAAAGAAATTAATAATAAGGAGAGGTCTTAATAACCAGTTTATATTTATAGTTACATAATTTTCGGACTGTTGTCCTCATCTTTATTGTCATGTTCACAACTCTTCGGTTGTTGTACGCTCCGGCCTTCTTCAGGTGATATACGTTGGAATTTCGAAATCAAAGTGTTCGGTTCGAAATTTGTTATAGAGTAGTTTCACAGTGGTGGCTTGTATTTCACTAAGTCGGTCCTAAAATAGGTTCGACGTACAAAACGTTAGGAACTTGATATAATAGTTAATGACGCAGCAATCTAGTTGTGGTGGCTGATGCTTCTAGTATCCGACTAACGGTCGTCCGACATCGACTGACTGACCAACTCACTGAGCCCTGCTACTACTACTACTCTTACTTATTATACATGGGAGAGTCTATTAACAATATAACAGGTGTGTTCCACTATAACAAAATTCCAACGTATATCCCCTGAAGAAGGCCAGACTGTACAAAGGCCGAAACGTCTTGAATATGACAGAATGAAAGAAAAGAAACAGTATGAAAGAAATAAAAGAAAGGTAAGAAATAGAACAAATTCACAATATATAGTCAGGAGAAAAGGAAGAAAATTCAGATAAGTTATCAATTCAAAGTTACCAATATACATTAACACAGGTTTCTGGTGGGTTCTTGAACGAATATTAAAGTAAGTGTGATTTGGTGGCGCCAACGTTGGTAGGAGGAATGGGTAGAATTAAATCTGTCAAGACGAATGATGTCGGGAGTGCATCACGTGATCGCCATACAGATCTTCCTTTTTTATCCGGTTTTACATATTTAAATGCTGGTGCCCATTATCCACTTTCTTGAAAAAACACCAAGACAAACAAACTGACTTTCAGTTTATCACGCAAGAATCACTCCCATTAAATGATCTATGCCAGGAGAAATCTTTCGAGGAGGTTGAGACCTTACTCACCAGTGCTCTGGGCAGCTTTATCACATACTACGCTCTCAACCATCTTCGATGCAACCCTGACAAGACTCAAAATAGTGCCTTCCACCTACAGAACAAGGAAGCTAACCGCCAACTCAAGATCAACTGGTATGGAAAAAGGGGTTACAGACACACAAGGAAAACTATGGTCAAGGTAGGAAAGGAAACCTGAAAGAAAGAACTAACTACAATAAGACATAATTATTGTAGTCTGCAAGAAAGAAAAAAAGAAGACGGGTAGTACGAATCAAAACATCAAAACACACAGAAGTTCAAGTATCTTGTAACGATTTTAAGAGAGGATTGAAATTGCGGCAGCGAGATCAGAACACGCATTGGAATAAAAAAAAATACATATGTCCAGGACGACTCATCACGGACAACTCAACGCCGCCGACTTAACACCGCCGACTCAACTCCAGGACAATTTTCTTCTCTTCTTTCTTCTGAAATATAAATGTTATACCGGTATGGCAACTCTAACTACTGAAGATCTTACGGCTTTTCTTTGCGTGTAATCGTTTTCCTCATGGCTGAAGAATCTGGCAATGATCAAATACTTGTTAATACTTCACTTATTACTGCACTTGAATTTTCAACAGTGCCTTCGGCACAACGTTTCAAGTTTGTTCACACTTTAGCCTACATTAGCAGCTGACAAATTGTGAGACTGCTTGTATACTTTCATGATAACTGCCCTAAACTTCGTATGAATTCTTGTTTTGGTCACGACGATAAAATTTTATGTTGCTGGCTCTTTTTCAAATACAAATAAATGGCCTTCGTGTGCAATTTTTTCTTTTCCTCTTTGAGTAAGAATTTCCATTTTCGGTGTGATGAAATGTTTGAAAATTAAATACTGGTGTTGAGTCGGCAGTGCTGAGTCGGCGGTGATGAAATATCCTTCAAGAAAATATACGTTCCAAAAGCTAAGTATACTATTAAAAAATAAGAAAATTTCGTTAGAAATAAAGAAAAGAGTTCTGGACTGCTATTTAATATCAGTCCCCCCTACATGCCAGTGAATGCTGGATAATCTCTTCATAGATGAAGAGAAGACTGGATGCAACTGAGATGTGGCTCTATAGAAGGGTACTGAGAAGACCATGAACGTAGTGCGTAAGAAACGAAAAGTCTTAAATTGGAACAAAAAGGAAAGGATGGCGGAACAGAGATGCAGAAGTAGCACAAGTGAAGCATTATTAAGAGCTATAAGGGATAGGAAGTTGTGAAGACTACTGATCGTCTATACCTTGAAGGAACACGGCATGAAGAAGAAGACGAAAAAGAAGAATTATTTTCCACTCTACAACTCCTTTTCACAGACGAAACATCGCAAGGATATAAGAAAAATAATAAATGAAATATAGAACAGTGGCGAAATACTAGTAGACTTTAGTAGATCCATCGCTATAGAAAATGTTTTGATGAACTAGATTCCTTCTTTCCACCAGTTCACACGTTTGCAGCTAAAATCCACCATGCCAGATACTCAGGGGCGATCCTCCGTATTTCATTAATACGTAGAATATAGATAACGTCTTCACTAGTGCCGTTGCTTTGTGGAACAGACACATGAGAGGCCGATTCCACCATTAATTCAATTCTAACCACTTCATGTCCAGGATCAACCAATGTGTGATATATACATACTCAACCTCGGCACCCACTTGCACCCGAGTATCGGGATCGTCATTCTTTCTCTCCCCTTTCTTCCCCACCCTCGGTGATGGTGGCAGACATGGCTTTGAAGGCCCAGCCTACCCCTGAAGAGTCGCGAGCAGGAGTCACAGAGAAATGTGGGAGGTGGACGCGGCAGGGCATGTCGGGCCATCCGAATAGCACGTTGGAGTCAAAAGTCCCATTCTCTATCCTACCACCACCGAATGATCCTATGTCGGGACAATTTGAAATAGCAGTTTCTCAAGTAGCCTGTGTCAGGGATGTCTTCAAGTATATACTGATAATCTACAATTCTAAAGTCCTTCTACTGCAACAACCTCATTTAGCAACCCTTTATAGAGGAGGCACGGTGGAGTGATGCATAGCGGCTTAGATTGAGGAATCAGAGAGCCGAGTTCGAATTCCATTACATTCACTTACGTGCTAATACCCTTGGGAAAGGTGTGAATCCTCTTCTTCCCCCCTTCAGTTATGGGAAAATAGCAGGGCAGACTGGGTTCTATAGACTTGGATGGCAACTGGTCTAGGAGAAGGAAAAACTCTGAATTCAAAACCTGCGGAGGGTAGTTTGGGGACCTTGTGGCACTTAGTGCATCAGGTCTCTGTATTCGGCCCTTCAAAAAGTGTGGATGGTCCTGCACGAAACCTTCACCACTATAATCAAATCTCACGTGCTATACATGCGGGTTGGGGACCGCTTGTGAATTCCAAATTCCCATGAAACTCCAATATTGAAGCCGGCTCAACCCACCCCGGGTGAATGCCGTTACAAGAACAAGAAGAGCCCTTTTGTGCCTTATATTTTGTGAACAATAAACGTAAAAAAAAGCTAACTCCGAAATCCCTTGGTTATAATTTCTTCTTCTGATTAGCAATTTTCAAAGCCATTGTTGCTAACGTAGTTCTTTTTTTCTTCCTGTTTCTTACTGTCACATGGTTCCTAAATAGCGGATTTTTTCACAAGATATCACCTTTCAAAACAGGGGATCACGCCTCTTCACAACTTCCAGCCCTTTGTTATTCTGAATAACTGTTGCGTCATTATTGCCCTCTTTGTTTTGTGTTCTTTTTTTCATCTATTCACTTTAGATAGGTTAATCTTTTGTGTTACTCGCCTTCAAGATGTGATGTGCATGTTAAATTCTCCAAGCATTCTTTCCTAATTATGTGTCTCAGAAATATAATTTTTATGATTGTTAGCAACAGTTTCTTTGTAGCTGCTTATTTCCTTAAATATTCGTTATTCACATTTTCTGTCCACAATGTCTTCTGCATAAAGGATTTTCTAGTCTCTGTTTGTCACTTCATGTCTCTTTAAATTCTTAGGGTACTTTTTAACATTCACTTAAATGTAGGGAATTAGATATTACATAGCATTTCTGCGTTCTTTTCTTTGTTTCTAAAGACATTTAATATCTCTTACTACATTGCTTAGTTTTTGAAAGGCATCTTTCGCTATTCTTACACACCTTCGGATTTCTGTGCAGTAATCTCCGTTATGTGCCACTGAACTACCCAGAGAGTAACATTTCTAAACCTGCCTGATTTTGATGTCACTCAAAAGTAACTTGTAACCTCGATAGTTTATTTTACGTCTTACAGTTAATTGTTCGTTAATTCCTTTCTTTCCTTGATTACCTTATCTAATTTGACACTCACATGATATATGAATGTCCTGTGAGTGGCAAATTATCCAATTCGTGTTTCCTTATTAAATGTCCCAGAATCTTCAACTCCCTCATTCTGATTCTAAGTATGAACTTTCTTTTTGTTTCGATTTCCCTTAAAACTTCCTCATTGCTCACATGCTTCTTCCATGGTATTATATGCAGCCATCTGTAGAACCACATCTCTTTTATCTCGTCTCTTCCTTATCTGTGAGAAATTTGCGTAGTATTCATTGCTTTTATCTTAACCAGCAGGCCTTAGCTTTAATTTTCAAACTTCTTCGATGAATCAATGTTGTTACTGAAATTTTTGGATTAGTTTTTCTGTAATGTTATTTTTCTTGCATTTATCGCAACACACAGGTTATCAGACAAATGTTAACATCTGCAATAGTTCGTTTTTAATGCCATATCCCTCTTGGAGTTCAAATCCCAGCCGGGGTCGTTGTTTTGTTTTTTGCCAAAATAATCTTCGAGGACGTAGGAATCCATCTTTTCACCGGCAACCAGCTACGAGTTAATAGCATTGCAGACTGGGCGCTTTAGTCTTGGATAGCATCACATAGGAGGTCTGACATCACACAGTTTGTGATTGGTAAATAATTGCCATTTTATATTTTAATTTCGCGCATGAGCGGTGTTTGTTTTTGATTTTATCGACTGCATAAGTATAATAGGGTCAGATGGGCAGCGTCTGTGAGAAAAAAGTGCACCGTGACACAATTCACTCCAACAGAAATTTAGAAACGGCATGGTATACTGCTTGGCATTCGCGTCAGAAGCTCCAATACGAACATTTCAGAGTGTTTCGGTGTCAGTCTGAGGACAGTGCAGAGGATTCGGAAAGAGTTAGATGATGTATCCAGTCAACATCATGGATGGCGACATTAGGCCTCCATTCATCTTCCCACATGCCTCGACTCAACTCGGAGGGCTACGTCAAATACCTTTAGGAGTTAGTGCTACTCTGGATGAAAAGGGTGTCCGCTGGAAGACCCCATGTCTAGCACTATGCTACACAAGTAGGAGAACTCAGTTATGGCTGTCAGACAATCAACTATATCACTTCTTACATCTGGCCACCTAACTCCCCAGACTGCAACCCCCTTGATTATTATGGGGCGCAATTGACGAGAGACCAACAAAACTCCTTGTAACACCAAAGATGAACTGAAGGCAAGGGTTATGTCAGCATTCCCTAAGTTAAACAAGGGGAGCATTCAGAAAAGTTGCAGGAGATTCCGAAGTTGTCTGGAGGCCGTGGTTGAAGCCAATGGCGACGTTTTTTGTATAAATTTACTCTTTAGTATTTCAAGATATTTTTGTGTAATTTTGTTAAATATATTTGCTAAAATGAGATTTGTGTTATTTCCATTTTTGTGTAATTTCGACGACAATTTAATCATCGCACTCTATATAGTTATTCACCACGCCTTCCCCTGTTTCAAACGAAAGTATTCTGTTATTTGATACCCAGTTTAGTTTTGGAAAGCTTCTTCCGCTATTTCTGTGCGCTTTCTGATTTCTATGATACGTTTTACGTCAAGTGTTAGAACGATGCCCAGATAGTTAAAAAAAACTAAGCACAGGCTATGCATGGATAAGTGAAGGGGTTTTCATTAAGACGGATCAAAGTCAGCAGTAAATAAATCAGTGTTATTGTTGAAAATTTATT